CTATACCTTTATAGGTCCACCCACGACTTTAGCTAAGACATCTCTACTTGAAAAGAGTAATCAGAAAATATTATTATAATTATGTATATAATCTGTACAAAGGGGTCTCTATTTATAGAGAATGAAAACCCTAAAACTTGACCTAATGGGCTTAGACCAATACAAAAAAAAATACTAATAATAATAAAATAACCAATATTTACAACACTCCCCCTCAAGCTGAGGAATAGATATTTATCATTCCCAGCTTGCTAGTAAGTTCTTGAAATCTGTCTGGAGGAAGTCCCTTTGTCAATAGATCAGCCAATTGACGTCCAGTGGGAATGTATGGAGTGGTAATCAACCCGCTATCAAGTTTCTCTTTGATGAAATGGCGGTCGACCTCAATATGTTTAGTCCGATCATGTTGAACCGGATTATGAGCTATACAAATAGCAGACTTATTGTCACATAGCAGCTTCATAGGTCCCTCACATTTTATTTTGAGATCATCAAGTATAATTTTCAGCCACAGTAACTCACAAATGCCTTGAGCCATAGCTCGAAATTCAGCTTTTGCACTTGATCTGGCAACCACATCTTGTTTCTTACTTCTCCATGTCACCAAGTTACCACAGAGAAACATGCAGTAACCAGTGGTAGAACGACGGTCAGTCACGGATCCAGCATAATCAGCATCAGTGTAGACTTCTAAAGAGAGATTGCCATCACGTAGGAACAACAATCCTTTACCAGGATTAGCTTTAAGATACTGCAGAATTCTCTCTACTGCCTGCATGTGTTTCTCCTTTGGATCGTGCATAAACTGACTGACAACACTAACAGCATAAGCTAGGTCTGGTCTAGTATGAGCCAGATATATCAATTTTCCAACTAGCCGTTGCTATTGTCCTTTATCAACTGGAGGACTCTCCTCTTCAAAGCCTATCTTGTGATTCTGCTCAATAGGAGTATTAGAGGGTTTACACCCGAGCTTCCCTGCTTCTTTGAGAAGATCCAAAACATATTTCCTCTGACTGATAAAAATTCCTTTGCTTGAATGAGCTACTTCTATCCCTAGGAAATATCTCAGTTTCCCAAGGTCTTTGACTTCGAACTCAGAGGCAAGTCGTGCCTGCAGAATCTGTCTCTCCATAAAATCATCACCTGTGATAATAATATCATCAACATATACAAGGAGCACAGTAAGCTTCCCATTTTGGGAGTGCTTGAAGAAAAGAGTGTGATCTCCTTGACTCTGTCTATATCCTAAGGTCATCATAACCTTAGTAAACCTTCCAAACCAAGCACGAGGTGACTGCTTCAATCCATACAAGGCCTTTTTTAATCGACAAACTTTATTTTCCCCTTCACAGAATCAAAACCAGGCGGGATTTCCATGTAGACTTCTTCTTCTAACTCACCATTGAGGAAAGCATTTTTCACATCAAATTGATTTATATCCCAATTATAATGGGCAGCAAGGGACAACAAGATTCTCACTGTATTCATCTTTGCAACTGGAGCAAAGGTTTCTTCATAATCAATGCCATAGGTTTGAGTGTAACCTTTGGCGACTAATCGAGCCTTGTATCTCTCAAGAGTGCCATCAGAATTATATTTCAGGGCATAAACCCATCTGCACCCTACTGCTTTCTTTCCGTTGGGTCTATCAATAATCTCCCATGTTTTATTTTTCTCCAACGCATTCATCTCCTCTTGCATGGCTTGAGCCCAATTCCCATCTTTCAAAGCTTCATGTACTGATTTTGGGATTGAAGTAGAATCTAGTGCTGAAACAAAGCTTTTGTGCTGCACAGAAAGATTAGCAGAGGAAACAAAATGGGAGATAGGGTATTGAGTACAAGAGGGACAAGAAGAACAAGATTTCTTGGAACAAGATCTTTTTCCTTTTCTTAAAGCAATGGGTAAATCATCAGAAGCAATAGTAATGGGTAAGTCATCAGAAGTATTAACATCATGATCGGAAATATGAGATTCAGGACTTACCAGTGGTTCAGACGATTGAGGTTGTTGTTGAGGCAATGTGGGTTGTTTCCTTCTTTGATATACCAATTCAGGTGTTACAATCTTCCGTATCTCTGGTGTACTTGATGTATCAGTCATAGGAGGATCAGTCACAGGAGGATCAGACATAGACACATTAGGAACAGGAACAAGAGGAAGAGACACTGACACAGGTGAAGGAGTAGACACTGAAGATTCAAAGAAGGAAGGTGATGAGTCTTCTGGTGAATTATTCTCCCCCTGAAGATGAGGACCTTGGAAAAAGGACTCAGATTCCTGAAATGTAACATCCATAGAAACAAAAAATTTCCGACTTCCAGGGTGATAGCACTTGTAGCCCTTCTTATCAGGAGCATATCCAAGGAAGACACATTTAAGAGCCCTAGGATCCAACTTACTGCGATGCTGTTTATGAACATGAACAAAGACAACACACCCAAACACTCGAGGAGGAAGACTTTGCAAAGTTGGAATAGAAGGGAAAAAAGAAGTCATTGAGTGAATAGGACTTACATGATCGAGGACCCGAGTGGGTAGACGATTGATCAAGAATGCTGCAGTAAGAATAGCATCTCCCCAATAGTATTTGGGTACATGTGTCTGAAACATTAATGCACGAGCCACTTCAAGAAGGTGACGATTTTTTCTTTCAGCAACCCCATTCTGTTGAGGGGTGTCAACACAAGTAAGTTCATGAATCATACCGCAATTTCGTATAAATTGGGAAAAACTGTGATTAACATATTCAGTACCATTATCTGTCCTTAGTCTCTTGATTTTTCTACCAAATTGGGTCTCAACCATTTTATAAAATTGAAAGAACAGTTGTGGTACCTCAGACTTTTCACGCATTAAGTAAACCCAAGTTACACGAGTGCAATCATCAATAAAAGAAACAAACCATCTATTTCCAGAAGCATGAGAGACTTTAGAAGGACCCCAAACATCAGAATGAATAAGATCAAAAGGTTCAACACTCTTAGTACTACTAGAAGGAAAAGACACACGATGATGCTTAGCAAACTCACAAACATCACAATGAAAAGACTCAACAGGCTTAGACAAAAACAATGACGGAAATAAAGATTTGAGTAAACCAAATGGAGGATGTCCCAAGCGCTTATGATGAAGCCAAATCAAAGAATCAGCAGTTGATTGACCATGAGACATCAAGATGTGATTTGTTACTTTATTTGCGGGAGATTGTGACACCAGATAGTACAGCCCACCTTGCTCTTTAGCACTACCAATCGTCTTCCCCGTGGCGAGATCCTGAAAAACACAATGGGTAGGGAAGAAGGTTACAGTACAATTCAAATCTTTTGTAATTTTATGAATAGAAAGAAGATTCGTGGAGAGTTTAGGAACATGAAGAGCATCTTTAAGATGTAAGGACTGCTGTAAGTTTATGTCACCAGAACCCGCAACTGATGTATGTGAGCCATCAGCTATGGCTATTGTATGAGTTCCAATGGTAGGATGATAAGAAGTAAAGGAGTCAGCACAACAAGCCATATGATCAGTAGCACCAGAATCAACAACCCAAGAATGTTTAAAATCATTACATGAAGAAAGGAAAGAATGAGTTTTGGAGCTCATACCAGTCATAGACAAAGCACTAGTATCAGATGGCTTACTCATATAATCAAGGATGGTTCGGAGCCGTTCCAACTCATCTGGACGAAATGCAGGTTGGGTCTCATTAGGTGCAAGGGTTATTTCAGAGGAAGTAAAATGCGCTCGACCACGCATCCTTGCCATCTTTTCTAAGACAGTTTGCTTTCCATGAAGGCGAAAGCATAAATCCTTGATATGACCTGTTCTTTTACAATAAGAACACCATCGATCATCTCTCTTAGGTGTAGAAGATGCACCATCATAGAACTTTGTAAAGGAACTCCTTTGAGAAGAGGCCATACTGCACAAAAAACAGTCAACGAAAAAGGCTCCAAGAAGCCAAAAATTCGAAAAAAAAATACCAAACGACGTTCGATCAAAGGGAAGAGCACAGATCTAGAACTAGAATGAAGAGACGATCAGAACAGTGTTGGCCGGAGCTCAAAAAGGTGGTACACGCGCCGGTGGAGGTGACTGCGAGTGGGCCTCACTCGCCGGGAAGGTGGTGGCGCGTGACAGCGCGTGCGGTGGTCGCCGGAGCTGATTTTTCTGCAGTGCGGTCGTCCGACGGTCGCGATCCTGTCTGTGGTCGGTCAAAGTTGAAAAACGGCCGGAAAACGACCAAGACGCGAAGAGAAGGATTCTGCCTTGTTTGCGTTGTTTGAGCGTTTGATGAACAGTGGTGTGGCTGATGAAAAGTGAGGGAAAAACAAAAGGATCTGATCTTGTTACTGAGTAATGAAGAAAAGAAAAAAATAAAAGACACAGTGATCTCTCGGTCCAAGAAGTTCCTGGAAAATAAAAAGGTTTCGTAGGTGCGGAAGCAGAGCCCTCAAGATCGAGAGCTCTGATACCAACTTGAAAAGAGTAATCAGAAAATATTATTATAATTGTTTGTATAATCTGTACAAAGGGGTCTCTATTTATAGAGAATAAAAACCCTAATACTTGACCTAATGGGCTTGGCCCAATACAACAAATACTAATAATAATAAAATAACCAATATTTACAACAAAGCCCTTTGTCCAACAATGACAATCAGCAGAAATGTATAGCTATGTAAAGAACCAATTCAACCCAAAAGCTTAAGCTGTTGGGTAAGGACCTTTTTAATGGTTTATATTATACTCCAACAGAAAATTGAAGTTGTTTATACTGGGCTTGAAGGGTGGACAATGCACAGGCCCACTTACCCGTGCTAAAAAAATTCCACAAGAGAAAGTGGGGGTGGTAAGGATCGAACCCGGGACACGAGGCTCTAATACCATATAAGGAACCAATTTAACCCAAAAGCTTAAGCTGTTGGGTGAAGGCTTTTTTAATGGTTTATATTATACTACAATAAGCTAGAATGACGATCACCTTGAAGAGCTGGTCAAAATATAGCTTGACCAAGGAAAAGAGACTTTGCTAATAACCATCGGCAGAATTGTCTTTTCAAGCAAGTATACAAAACAAGAACTAAAACTTCTCTTCTAAGGTCATGAAGAACAACATTTGGAAGCTTCAAACCATAAGAAAACTTAGGATGCCCAAAGCTCAATGGATTAGACAGCAATTGGGACAATCCAACGAGACCAGGCATCAACTGAGACAATCGATAGAAAGTTGAAGGAAAGACGACACGACAAAGGGTCAGCGGCGGATAGCGGCCAGAAGATGCAAGTTGTAGCTGGAACGAAGACACAGCAGTGGAGAATGAAACTGGTGTAGGAACACATTCATGAAAAGAAAAGAAAAAAGGTAGAGCTCTGAACTTCAAGGGAACTCAACAACGGAATAGTCACGGGACATGTCACAAAGGATAGTGTCACTCTAATACCATATTGAAATTATTGGGTCCAAGCTATAGATGGAGTTAAAGTAAGAAGAATCAATAATACAAAAGACAAAGCACTAAATCCTATATATACTAAATAGGGGAATAATCCTATATATACTAAATAGGAGAATCCTAAAATAACGAAACAAATCAGGAAATAGGGAAACTAATCCTAAGTGATCCTTTGGGATACTCTAAACTATATTAAGATATAGTTTAATAATATATAATATCTTCTGGATATTCTTAGTTACTTCTGGAATTCAGAGCGTTTAAACATCCAGTGGATGCTATTCTCTTGGGTCTTTCTTTTCATTGTTTCTTAATTATGAGAAATAAATCAATATAATATATACACGGAAAACCAGTTACGTAAAATTCTACCAAGTTGCAACTCTAGCTTGTGAAACTAATGTCTCATACAAATTTTAACATGTCATACTTGAATTGTTTTTCCATAAACCAATTCCATGGAATTGAAAAACAATTAACACAAGTCCTACTAAATTCTTAACACACCCTAAGAATTGTCAATTCTAAAATTTCAAAATTAAAGTCTCTCTCTCCATTAATTTTTTTCCTGAAAATATGTTCAATATAATTTACCTTACAGTAAAATAATTTCAAACTTCAAAAATTTATACTATGAAAAATTAAAGAACTAATATTTTTATAAATTATAAAATCAGCACCTAAGTTTTTATACATTTATTATTTGAATATATATATATATATATATATATATATAATTTTTTTATTTGTAAATAATAGTGAAACTTTTGTACTCAGTTGATATTTTTTTATAGCTTAAGTTTTTAAAGTAAATAATTATAATAATGTTTAAAATAATATATTTTGATATTATCCTGACCTACCTATAATTATTTTTATATCTCTCTTATAAAAAAATTATTATAATATAAAAAAATACTATACTCCAATTTTTTTATAAAAATACTATTTATGAGGAAAAAAAATATTACAGTTATAGCTTATATTATAAAAAATTATTGTATTAATATTATTTTTTATTTTGTAAATAATTTTCTAAAATCATTGATCATACATTTAAAAAACAACATTAGAATTGAATTCAGAAGTACAATTTCACATCCTAATTCTTTGGCATACACAAGCATAAAATTTAAGATTCTGAACCAATTCTAATTCTAAAAATATTCGAATTAAACTTAAAATATAGTGTTCCAATCCCAATTCAGACACTAATATCCCATTTTATGGAAATAATTCATTGATATCTTATTACATGATTCAAATTTTTTCTTTGATTATAGACGGGTGTTAATCTAGCCACGTAAATAGGACAAGCTGCATTCAGGGTGGTTCATTATGTTGTTTGGTAAATTCTTAACACCCCACCCCACCCCCCCCAAAAAAAAACACTAAAACTAAAACTAAAACTAAACAAATATACAACAAAATTTTAGTATCATATTGCTAGATATAATATAAATAAGTTAGAGATATAATAAAACCATCTAGGTGCCTTCTCCCAAAAGCTCGAGCAGTTGAGTAAAGGTACGATAATGGTTTTATATTACATTGCTAACACATCCCCATGCAAAAGTCCTCTGAACTTGAAGAGTGGACAATGCACAGTCTCACCTACCTTGTGCTGAAATTTAACTTTTCGCTAGGAGAATAGGGGCGGCAAGGATTGAACTCTAGACCACTTGGTGACAGAGGCTCAAATACCATGCGATGAACCAATTCTCCCAAAAGCTTAAACTATTTGGTGAAGGTACATGAATGGTTTTATATTACATATCTAACACGTATTAAAGAGATAGAGAAATGTAATAAACTGCCCTTACATTGTATAGCTCATTCAGATTACTCCACCCAGTTGAGACACCAATGTCATATCCTAAAGTTCGATGATAATATGCATCAATCTCATCAAAGTAATCTCTGAAGTTAAACAATCCACGTATGGGATATAATTCTGCATTCTCAATCATTTCTTTCAGTGCATCAGGGCCCAAATACATGAGAACCTGTAAATATGTGATAAGATTGTTTCAGTTATCAAAGAGCAAAAATTTCACACAAACAACTTCAAATGGCTCTGCATAATAAGTTGACACAAACAAACCAGGAAAGGGGAAAAAACAGAGTAATATATATATGTCAATAAAACCATAAGCGCTAGACCAACATAAATGGCATGCACCAGAAAAGAAAATGTATAATTCTAATCGAACCAATATAAACATTAACAATAACAAGGCATGTATTGATGAATAATAAACTAGACCATGCATGTAAACATTTTGCTTTTTATTTGGGCATCAACCGCCGATACTATTCGTTTAGGATAAAGGTGATATTAATGTTAGATGTTAATGCATGTAAACATGAAGTGGGTTAAGAAGAGTAACCAATACAATTTTGTCTATTACATGCATCTTGATTGTCAGTTGACATTGTTCAGTGTATCCAAATAAAAGTTGTCTAGAGAAAACTTACACATGCATCATTTTCTTTTTATATTTTCGTTTTTTTTTTTAAGGGAAGATTGAAAGTAAAGGCGCAGGTGAAGAGGAACTTGTGCATGCATATTGATATCTGACCTCATTTGCATCTTTGCAATGATCGACCGCCCCTTTTCTAGGCCACTTGACCCGCCAGCATCTGCAAGCACACAAAAGCAAGGTTATTCTTCATTCTTGCAGAACAACGTTATCAACAGAAAATATGACACAAGTGTAAATAGAAGAAAATAAATCCTCCCATTAATTTAAAAAAATTGAAAAATGAACAAACTACAGAGTAGATTAGTGAAAAAATCCAGTGTCTTATGTGACCATGAAAATTTGGAAACAATATATAAAGAATCAAAAGAATGCCAAAGAATAAACAACCATAAAGATTTATAAGGGCACTACCTATCTTAATATAACAAACAATTCTTTCAAAAATTACACAGCACGTAAAAAGCTAAAATGATACTACTCCCAAGAAAATGGTATCATTTGCGGATTGAAAGCGTAACTGCTAGAGGTTTTCTCAAATAGATCAACAAGAATTTATGTTAGTAGTAAAATCAAGACAAAATTTCGAACTTTTCTTTCCCAAGGCGGCGAGCAAGCTCCTCAGCCAAAGCTTGGCCAGGTGCATCCCCATCAGTGGCAAGTATAATCCGGGATGCCTATCAATACAATACATTGAGAAAACAAATGAGCAAAGTTGATAAAAGCTTTTACTGTACATCTGAAAGAGAGGAATAATAACAATTACCGACCTGATGTAGTTGATCTTTGCAGTTCCACAGATACTGATACTTTGTATCCTAGCTTTGCAGAATGAGAATTATCACAAAAGCATCAGTTTCTAACATTGCAAAATAACAAATAGAGTTATCATTGAATCATGATATATATATATATATATATATATATATATATATATATATATATATATATATATCCAGCAAATTAAGCATAAAAAAGACCTTCTCCTTAGCCGGCAACTCCTTCGAGGAGACTGATGGAGGTGCACCATCAGGAACACTGACACAATTGCGGAAGCCAGCTTCTTCCATTGCCAGCTTGTCCATTTCACCTTCAACCTATAATATAAAATCAATATACTAAGAATAAAGCAAAGCATTAACCTTTTGCATAATTTCTACAGATGGCAGAATACATACAATGATAATATCACTTTTCCCCTTTATGTCATCCAATCCATAAAAGATCTTTTCAGTGTTCGCTTCCTGAAATAAAATGATATTGTGGGAAAAGAAAAAGATGCAATAGTCATAAAATCAGCAAAAATGATACAAGCATAAAACCAAAAATTTGACAACTGACAGAAAAAAGGATGTTATGACAATATGACAAAATAACTTCAAGAATGATCAAATTATACAATAAGATGCAAAAGTATTAATAAGTAAAGAGGATGGAGAAAGAAGAAGGAGAACAATAAGGAGTGGGGCAATGGCCTACTAGCCTAATGGTCAGCTTACCAAAAATTGAATAATAATTAATAATAATAATAATAATGAGAACAGAAAGAAAAAGTTGGGGGTAGTTATCTAAATTTACATTACTTTATTTCTTTAGTAAACCAACATGCTATAATAAGGACATTTTTAGAACTTTAGGGTCAAAATATTGGGGGGCAGGGGGAGGGGGAGAGAATGAGAAAATAAAATGTGCTTTCCCATTGAGTGTTGTGCAACTATTTTATGTCCTCACCAACTGCTACTCATTGTGAAGCTCCTATACAGAAAAAGAAGAGAGAGAGAGAGAACATAAACATTGGAGGCCCTAATCAAAATTATTAGAATCTCCCACGAATGAATTCATATACATAAATTGTTGTTGCAAGAGTGTAACAGTATAAACTCAGCCCACATGCCAATAACTAAAAGGCAACAACACTAATACTCTTAACCGGAAGCTGCTATGTTCTCATTATTAGTAGTAGAGATGTTTGCCATTTAGTTATGCTCATCAAAATATGTTCAGATGTTTTCAATCACTGATTTTTTTTCAAACTAATTAAATCTCAGCATATCAATTTTAACACTCAATTTAAATATGCACAGCACCAGCAACTGCTTTTACCTGCCAAAAGTTCTTGTGGACATCCCGATACTTGCAACCAACAAGGGTTCCATCACGATTATATGGGAATGCAATAACAATCTACCAAAAATATGTTAAGGAAACAATTAGTAACACAGATCAGTCACTTGTAAAGTAAAAGAATGGGGATGGGACACTAGCTCCATTAAGAGAGTAATTGTTTATATATTGCCCTCGGATATAGTTGAACATTCAACATATCATCTTCATTAAATAAAAGTCAAAGACAATCCTTGCCTAACCGATCAATAAGTAGAACACCATTTCTTTTCAAGTGAATATTAAATAGTTAAATTTGTGTATTTTAACACTATGCTTTTTTAATCAGCTTGTAGAAAGTGTAACCAATATCAGTCATATCAACAAATTCAAAATTATTACATATATGCCATGAATAATTTTTCTAGTAAAACCAACCTTGAATTTTGCTCTTTGATCTCTCTTTCATCAAAATAAACCAAATAATCAGAAGGAAAATATAAGAATTTACCTAAACCAATACATTGAAGATACATATTAATATTTAGAATATTATATTCCTAATTCTTTTATCATTTGAAAAAGAGTATGTACAATCTGTCTGTCTTGATAACAGTTGCAGCAAACTTACCTTGTTTATTAACTGGATTATTGTTATTCTAAAATAAAATTTCCTATGTCACTCATATTAAGCTCATAATTTAGTGCACCTGATCGTCATATTTTCTCTGCTTCACAGCATTTCTCTGCAGAGTCTCCTTTGAAATCAAGCGCTCAGCAAAATACGCAAGCAGCTGAAATTGGGCAAATAAAGTTTTATTCACTATATTGCTTGGACATGAACAAATAAATTATCAAATTTACTACCAATATAAAAGCCATACGATGAGCATAACACACAAATTAGAGTATATATCAAATATCAATTTTAATGACTAAAGGCTCTTTTGAATTACTGTTGATGGGGAGCAAATGTCCCACTGCTTCACTTTTTTTACTTTAAGTAAACACATGTTTACATTCCACACATCCAAAACAAACAGGCCATAACTAAATACAAAAAACTCGGATAATCAAGAGAAACAATATTAAAAAATGGTGACTCAGCTGCCAAGACATTAAGAGTAAATGCAAGCCTCTTAGACATTAGCAATCAACTTTAATTGTTTGCCAAAACAGTTGACAGATATCAAGGAAAAGAAAGAAGAAACTTTAATTGAGTGCAACAAATAAAAATGCACAACAATTATACAGCAATCAATATTAGTTGCTTGTTCAATAGATACACAATTGTGTGTGTGTGTGTGTGTGTATAAAGATGGCAAAGGAAAACAAACCATGCTCTGCATATTTACAGAGTAAGCAGTGAAGAACAATGAATACACTACATAATCAATTAGCCTCTATTAAACACATTGACCCAAAATTAAACATTTAATAACATAAGCAACTATCAAGAAGATATATTGACAACAAAACATCTACTTTAGATCTTGTAATACTTTACATATTCATATCAGAAAGAAGAGAGAGACAAAGCAAGGCCAACAATGAAGAGAAAGCCATTAGCTAAAAGCAGCACTTTGATTCCAGGCATGCCAACAAAGGAAACCCCCACCCCTTCCCAAAAAGAAAAGGAACAAAAAGGAATCATTAGCTGAACACCACAGGAAAAAGACATATATATTTGATCCCACATAGTTTGCAAGGAGAAGACACTCTGGTTGCATACACTCTAACCAATTGCACCACATCCCTGCAAAGAGACAGATTTCTTCCTTGATCTCTTTTCTTATCCCAAAATTTCAGAATGAAAAGGTATTGAAAAGAAGTTTCTGTATATTGATATTGAATAATTTACATGAGTGAGTATTTATACAAGAAAAAATCGCAAAGAATGACTAAGCGATGACTAAGTGATGACTAATCAATCCTAATCACAATCAATTCTAATCAATCACAATCAGTCCTAATCAATCAAAATCAATCCTAATTAATAGGAAATAAAAACGGAAACATGTTTGGATTCTGATTTTCTACACTCCCCCTCAAGTTGGGAGGTAAATATTGATCATTCCCAACTTGCCAATCAAGTCTTCGAATGCTGGACGGTGTAGGCCCTTGGTAAGGATATCTGCCGTTTGCTCTTTGGTTGGAACATATATCAAACGCACACTTCCATCATCTAATTTTTCTTTGATGAAGTGACGATCAACTTCCACGTGCTTTGTTCGATCATGATGCACAGGATTTTGAGCAATGCTAACAGCTGCCTTGTTGTCACAATATAGTTTTATTGGTAGGGAATATGAAATCTTCAACTCTTGAAGAAGTCCTCTCAACCAGATTCCTTCACAAACTCCATGAGATAAAGCTCAAAATTCTGCTTCAGCACTACTTCTTGCAACCACTGTTTGTTTTTTGCTTCTCCAAGTAACAAGATTTCCCCACACATAGGTGCAATAGCCTGAGGTAGATCTCCTGTCTACTGATGAGCCTGCCCAATCTGCATCAGTGTAGATTTCAATTGTCCTTTTATACCCTTTTTTAAAGAATAATCCTCTTCCTGGAGTATTCTTGAGGTATCTAAGCACCCTATAGACTGCACTAAGATGCTTCTCCTTGGGTGAGTGCATGAATTGACTAATCATACTCACCGCAAAGGCAATGTCAGGACGCGTATGAGATAAGTAGATTAGTTTACCAACCAATCGCTGATATTGTTCTTTATCCACCTCATTCCCATCTTCAATACCTAACTTGGTATTAGGTTCCACAGGTGTCTCAGCAGGTTTAACACCCTAACATTCCTGTTTCCAACAAAAGATCTAGAACATATTTTTTTTGTGTTAGAGTGATGCCTGTTTTGCTCCTAGCAACTTCCATACCAAGGAAATATTTGAGAGTGCCAAGGTCTTTGAGTTCAAATTGAGCTGCTAGAAATTTCTTCAAGGTGTTCAATTCCTCAATATCATCACCTGTAAGAATTATATCATCTACGTATACAATAAGAATAGCAATTTTACCATCCTTAGAGTGTTTGTGGAAGAGAGTATGATCAGTTTGTGCTTGAATGAAGCCTCTTCTTTTGACTGCTTGTGTGAATTTGTCGAACCATTCTCTAGGAGACTGTTTCAATCCATATAGAGACTTTTTTAGTTTACACACTGATCCATTTCCCTTTTCAAAACCAGGTGGAGGATCCATATAGACTTCTTCATGTAAGTCACCATTTAGGAATGCATTCTTCACATCTAACTGTTGCAGAGGCCAATCTAGATTGGCAGCAAGAGATAAGAGAACTCGGATGGTATTGACTTTAGCAACCGGAGCAAAAGTCTCATGATAATCTATCCCATGAGTCTGAGTGAAACCCTTTGCAACCAATCTTGCCTTGTATCTGTTGATGCTATTATCTGCATTGAATTTTATTGTAAACACCCATTTGCATCCTACTGCCTGTTTTCCTTTGGGTAGGGTCACTATCTCCCAAGTTCCATTTCTTTTTAAAGCATTCATTTCTTCAAAGACAGCATCCCTCCATTTTTGATCATTGAGAGCCTCATGTATATTTCTCGGTATCTTTGTACTATCCAACATAGTATTGAAAGCACGAAACCCTGGGGACAACTTTCCATATGAAATATGATTAGAAATAGGATGAGTAGTACAAGATCGAGTACCTTTTCTGAGAGCAATGGGCAAGTGTAGATCATTTTCACCATGACACTCAAGTATTGGGGTGCTGGAACTAGAACATGGTTCAGAATCCTGGCAGTGTAGAGGCTCTGGGTTATTCACACTTTGAGGAGTCTTTCGCCTGCTATAAACTTGTCCCAATTTTGAGGAGGCTCCTGATGGTGAGGATTCTGTAGCTCCCCCTGTTTCCAAAATTAGAGGTAATACCGTGACATCAGTAGGTTCCCATGACTGATCTTCATCTACTCCTATCTCCCCCTGAAGAGAAGTCGAGGGGAAGAAAGGGTCATTTTCAGAAAAAGTGACATCCATAGAGACAAAGACCTTACGAAGAGAGGGTGAATAACATTTATAGCCACGTTGAGTAGGAGAATAACCAATAAAGACACACTGGAGAGACTTAGGATCAAGCTTAGACCGTTGATGGGAGGGAATATGGACAAATGCAACGCAACCAAATAACTTGAGAGGTAAGGAGGAGACACCTCGGAAGGAAGGGAAGATACGAACAAGACTAGAAAGAGGAGACTGAAATTTCAGAATGCGAGATGGCATTCGATTTATCAGATACGAGGCAGTGAGAACTGCCTCTCCCCAAAGATATTTAGGAACACTCGTGGTAAACATAAGAGCCCGAGCAACTTCAAGGAGATGTCGGTTTTTTCTTTCCGCAACTCCGTTTTGTTGGGGTGTGTCAGGACACGAGCTTTGGTGAAGGATGCCATGTTGGGAAAGATATTCTCCAAGAATAGAGTTAAAATACTCTTTGCCATTATCTGTACGAAGAATTTGTATAGCAACTTGGAATTGAGTTTGAACCATGGCATGAAATTTTTTAAACACGGATGCAGCATCAGACTTATCCTTTAGAAGATACACCCAACAGACTCGAGAATGGTCATCAATGAAGGTAATGAACCATCGAGTACCTGAAATATTTTTAACACGGGCTGGACCCCATATGTCACTATGAATTAAGGAAAACGGGGAAGAGTCATGGTGAACTTTAGAAGGATAATGAGCACGAGTATGCTTGGCAAGTTGACAAATATCACAAGAAAACAAACTTGGACTTTTATGAATAAATAAGTTTGGCAACAACTTCTGAAGATAAATAAAATTTGGATGGCCTAGCCTACGATGCCACATCATAACATCATTACATGAATCAAAAGGAAACATAGAGTTTTTTTCTACGAAAACAGCTTCATGAGTCACATCCTCCTCAAAGTAGTAAAGTCCACCATCCTCTCTAGCACTGCCAATCATCCTCTCCGAGTCCTGTTCCTGAAAAACACAACCATGTGGAAAGAATTTAGCAAAGCAATGCAACTCAGAGGTGAGCTTGCTAATAGAAATGAGATTACAAGTCAGAGAAGGAACATAAAGAACTGATGTCAAAGTAATCAGCTCAGAAAGTTTAATGGTTCCGTGTCCCGCAATCTGGGAAAAACTGCCATCGGCGATCTTGACCCGAGAAGGTTCAGAATATGGAGTGTATGAACAAAACAAGCCAAGATTACCTGTCATATGATCAGAGGCTCCAGAATCAAGGATCCAATGATTTTGACTATCAACATGGAAAGTTGTACCTTGCTGGACCACATGACTAGTGGCCTTAGGAGGTTGAGTCAAAAGTCTCTGAAGTTGTTCAAACTTAGTCTTGCTAAGAAAGACACCATCAGAGTAAGAGGAAGAGTGTTTTGAGGAAGCCATGAATAGAAAGAGAAGGGTTGACCGTTGATGAAAAATCAAGTTTTGTAAATTTTTGATCTGACCTCTGGAACAGGAAGGGGAGAAGCCGGCGAGAAGGTCTGTGCAAGTCGCGGCAGAAAAAGACGTTGGGAAGGCGGCGCGTGGAGCTCACGCGCCGGAAACTGGCCGCGCGTGTGACGGCGCGTGGCGGCGCGTGCGGCGGTTGACGGCGATGGGTCCAGCGGCGGTCGACTCGTCGGATCCTTCTGAGTCGAATGGTCACCTCACTTTCTTGATCGGAGGTCAGTAGACTAGGTTTCTGTGTTGGACAGATTCAAGGAGGTGTTTAGGAGGTGTTTGACGGTGATGGAAGTGTTGGATGGTTATTTCAGATTTGAATTAGGGTAGGAACGAACCCGCTCTTGATACCATATTGAAAAGAAGTTTCTGTATATTGATATTGAATAATTTACATGAGTGAGTATTTATACAAGAAAAAATCGCTAAGAATGACTAAGCGATGACTAAGTGATGACTAATCAATCCTAATCACAATCAATTCTAATCAATCACAATCAGTCCTAATCAATCAAAATCAATCCTAATTAATAGGAAATAAAAACGGAAACATGTTTGGATTCTGATTTTCTACAAAAGGAAAAAAGAGTTCTATGTGGACATATACACAGCCCATTACAACTACCAAAAAGCTTACTATATAGCAGCTGCCAATCTCAATGTAGAAAGAGATTGGAGAAGCATCCTTATTTCAATTAATGGTATCTACATGAAATATTTCATACATCTATTAATCAAAATTTCATGCATATGATTTGTAAAGTAGGTGGTGAAAAACTTACAATCCAACTGTGAAATTCAAGATTCATTATCTGTTTTGTAAGTTAATGAATAGTGAAATATTATTACATCATTCATAGGCATGAGCAAACACACAAATTGTCATGGAAGGAACCAAGTAGTTTGACCGAGGAAAATAACAATCTCTATTGCTAATTGATAGAGAAGTCTAATATAAAATCATTAAAGAGGCCTTCACTTAACAACTTGTGCTTTTAGGTGAGATGGTTGTTTTTTATGGTGTCACAGCCAATGACCAACTCGTCACGAGTTCAATCCTCAATATTTAATTGTGGAATTTCTTAGCAAAGGTAGGTGGACCTGTGCATTATCCACCCTTCAAGCACAATGGGCTCTTGTGTAAGGGGTGTGCTAGAGAAGTCTAATATAAAATTATTAAAATGGCCAACAGCTTGAGCTTTAAGGTGATATAGTTGTCTATCACTAACATTTCAAAAAAAAAAGGCTCAGCTGTTCAGGAAATCAAATATTTCTATATCATTATACAAGGGGAGGGGGTTGAGCTAGCCCCCTTGAAAAGTTGATCTTTATTTCCTATAAAGGAGTGTATTCGGTTGTATAAAATAAGATAGTAAGCCACGGACGACAGATTTTTATCATGACCAATATCTGCACCAGATATCAATTGTATAGAACATACAATTCATAAAAAGAAGGGACAAAATTAGGTAAGGTAAAATTTAATGACCTCATTACAAAGTGGTTCTAGCTGCAATTCCTCCTCTGAAATCTGTCTTCTTATTTTAACGTGGGTTTCTTGACTCAGTGTTGCAGAATATGAACTACTACCAGCAAAGGCCTACAATAGAATGAAGAAAAACAAACTGATTAACACATCCACATGTGTTAAGCAGAACATGACATGCTTTAAAATGAAAAATATCTAACCTGTTGGCTGCCTTTATACCCACACTTTCCGCGAAAGCACAACCATGATGCAGACCCCCTTAAATTCAAAAATCGCCAAAATTAAAACAAGTAGAAGTATGACCAGCAAACAAATAGAATGAGGTAAGTTTATGAAAAATGATATCTAACATACCCGTCTGGTGCAATGTAAAGAGAAAAGCTCTTTTCTCCTGTTTCACCACCTTGACACTAGCAAAAAATAAGAGTATTACAAGGCACATACAAAGCTGAACACAAAAAATATTTTCTACTCCCATTGGGAAATGTAAAATGGGATTTATGCAAGGAGAATGAACTACTCTCATTGTGCAGTTCTACTAGCCCAAAGTAAAATGGAGATTAAAAAACAAAACAAGAAAAAGAAATTCATCTATCAATAGAAATTCAAGTTAGATACATTGGTTTGAAATAAGTAATAAACACTCTTCAATTCAATATTTCGGGGATTGTCATTTTTAACATCATAATCTACTCCCTTGACTCAAATTAAAAATTCCCTTTCAAATAATTACTTTATGTAAAAATTTTAAATCAAATCTAATATATACCAAAAAAAAGGGAAAAGACTCAGTTTCTTAACAATCTTCTAGAACGAAAATTTCACACAACTCCAAACCTGAAACATGACCAAAACAAAGACACAATTCTTTATGTCTTTATAGCAATGAATATACAGCATACTATAGTTGAAGTGTGTCAGTGGGAGGGAAAGACAAAATTTTCAGACCAAAGCCAACTCAACCTAGTTATGATGGTCAGGTGAAACAATTGTTCGGGGAGAAGATCTAATAGAATTTAAGTACTTTCAAATGTATAAAAAAACACTACAGTTGATAACTTCTACTTGAAAAGTTTCTACTGTTCAAAAAGCATTCAACATTGAAGAACACTAAAATAAAAAGAAACAAAAGGGGGGGGGGGGGGGGGGGGGGGGGGGGGGGGGGGGGGGGGGGGGGGGGGGGGGGGGGGGGGGGTACCGCTGGACAAAGCAAGCGGTTATGTTGCCCAGGTACACATAATCCTGTTTCAATTCCAACAGCTTCCAACTTCTTTTGCAACATACTGAATTGCAACCCCAACCTATTCTCATCAGGGTTTTCCAAATGAGCTTTAGAAAACGAAACCAGCAACAGAAAAAGTTAGTAACTTGATACACATTTAAGGTTCTTTAGTTCCCAATAGAAAAGGGTACCTTACCTGGCCTAGGGACACTGACATGAGAAGTACCATAATAGCCATTGGTTCTGAGCGGCGATGGACGATTTTTTGAAATGGGTTTGGAACAAAACACAGTAAAGAAGGCTCTGCGTGGGGAAAAATAGTTCCTTTGAGGTGAGAGGCTCTTTTTGAGGTTTGAGAATGGAGTGGAGAGGAACAAGGATTGGGTGGTCATGGTAGTGAGTTTTGAAGAGGAGAATAAGGGAAGGTTGCGTAGAAGAGTGTGAGGATAACGAAGGTGCATATTCTGAGAACAATGAATCATGAATGATTGAGGAAAAAAAGGTTTGTTTTATATTCTTCTTCTTCTTCTTCTTCTTCCACAGAGTGACTGTGTGTGTGTTTGTGTGCTGTGTTCATTGACAGTGTTAGCGTCAAGGTACAAAGAGGGTTTTGGTTTAAAGTAGGGTGTCAATTTGACAGCTTCGGAACTTTTTAAAAAAAAAGGATTAGGAATTTATATTTTTATATTTAGATAAAATAAAAATTGTTTGAATTTCTGATGAAGGTATTTATATTTCATTTAAATTTAAAATTTACAAAAAGAAAAATTAAGAATAAAATGTGTTATTAATATTTAAGCAAAAGTAAACTAAATGGTGTATTGGATCCAAATTTCAAATGATTTTAATAAATTATTTTTTGATAAAAAAGTGCATTGATATTGAATTAAGATTTTAAAAGATTGAAAAAAAGTTACATCATATTCTATTGGAATTTTAAAAGATTATCTTAGAGTTCATCCAAATATGTTGGTATTCAATCAAGATTTTAAACAGAGAAAAAAATAATCTTGTGGTATTCAAGAATCTGACGATTTTAATGGATTTTTTGTTGGTATAAATTTTTTGAGATTTTGGAGCAAAATATAAATATGATGCCTCTCTCATAATCTCACCCTAACCCCTAAAATTGCTTGAGATTTCTCTATTGCAATGTCTTCTTCTTCCTTTGGCGGGTTGACCCGCTCGAAATCGGGTTCCGTTATGCGAGCTTCGTCAAAGCTCAAAAACAACATATATTTTTAACGATTGTCATCACAAAACAATCCAGAAACAATAAACCAACAAGATTATAATATAATCAATCTCAAAACAGCAGATTTTTGAGCAATTTTTTAGAAGTTTAAAAAATAATTTTCCAAGCTATGGGTCACAATCTTTCTTTGCATAAAAGTGTGTGATTTTTGTATTAAAAACAACGTAAAATAGTGGAAAAACAACATAGGAACTAAAACCCTTAAACCAAATTTCGTTTTACATTAATGAAACGATATCAATTTAAAGAAAAATTAAAACTTTCACAATATGAACACTATATTTCGTAACAATACATTCGTGAACGAAAATTCTTCGCTATAGGAAACGATTTCAAACAATTTTTGTATCAATAAATAACTAAATACTTGTTTTTCAAAAGTCTCAAAGCAATTTAAGATTTCAATGTATCGATTGAAAATAATTTGAAAATCTTTCTAAACTTTTCATGTAATAAAACCCAAAATATTCGAAATTTTCTTAGAATACTCAATGAAAATATGCATATGATATATGGTTAGAAAATTTTCATCACATAGAACAAAAATCTCAAGGTTTCCAAGATCAATTGCAAAAAATTTCAAACGAAATTTTATCATGAACTTTAGGTGTTTCATATTGTAGGAGATAATATACCCACACATAAAAATATGTGGGATAAATATTTTTTCTCTCTTCTTTTCACATGGAGTCATACACACTTTTATGTGTGTATAGGAGATAATTTTATCTCCTTATCTCCTCCAACATGAGAAACATTAATCCCTTAAATTAATCTTGAGGTCCAAACAAGTTTTTTTAATATCTCCACAGATTCATCGATTGATTCAGTCCAGTTAGCTAAGACCATAAAGGTGGCAAAGCTCTATCCATACCAAGTTTGTAACATAACTGTATATCCAGAACTCGAACTCAAAATCATAGTAATTAAAAATGAGATTTTACATAAAAACGGAAAGAGAGTAAAAAACCGCAACGTAAAAAGAATCGTAAAAACATAAAAGTGCTTAAAATATTAATAAATTGATATTTTAACTATCATGCTCAAGATCACTGATTAAACTAAAACAAGTGAATGCCACTTAATCTACATGCTTAGTCACCCAAACATGCTTTATGGGGACACTTGAAATATTACTGGAGAAATGCGATTAAATTTTCTAAGTCTATGTTTGGTTGAAAGTAAAATATTAATGAGATAATGAGTTAAAAAAACTAAAATAACCCTTTTGTACTTTTTGAATATGAATAACCCTCGTATACAGTATGAGTGATTGTGTCTTCAACATTGATTGCAACGTCAAAGAACAATGTTACTTTCTTGATCTTCGTGCCATTTAGAACAGTTCTTTTTATCCCATTTTACAAACATTTTTCAAAGACTAGGCAAATAAGTTTGCTTGAAAAAATATTTGAATATCTTGTACCAAACATGGATTACACAAAATACCAAAGTAAGATGCATGGGTATCTTTTGTGAACTCTACTACCAAACACTACCTAAAGTTCATGTTTACTCTTTCTCTTTCTCTCTCCTTTTTTGGGAGACGAAATGCAGGAGTTTACAATTACAATAACTGTTATTCTTATTCAAGGAAATGCTAATCATTAAATATTTCAAAATGGCTGCAAATTTTTACTTTTTCGTTTTTACCATCATCTAGTTTCATATATATTTGTTTGTTCATTCATGCTATTCTGCTATCAAAGCTTCATCAATCGTTTCAGAACTCGTGCGCTCCTGATATTTTTATTTGTTTGTCCTTAACGGTTTCTTTTGTTTCTTCACCGGGCTTATGATGCTAACTTAGCATCATAAGCCCGGATTGCTAACTATCAGAGTCCTTGCCAACCGAAACAAACATTATTATACCAACTTCGTTTGAATGATATTAAGAAAGGGTTTGTATTTGTCATTTAACATGACACAACAAACTTTCCTACACACACAACATTTTGTGGGACCCACACTTTTTGAAGAAAAATAAATAAAAAATTACGGCACGCAAAACGAATCTCTATAACATTACACAATTACTTTTCCTACAACATAACTCTTATAAAATCCTATTACGAATAACATATCTGACATTTTGGTTAGAAGAATTATGAATAAACTTGTCCCAAGCTAAAAGCCGATACACAATTTACCTCACAAGTCGAATCTCATACAAACTTACACCAAAGATGTTAATTAGAAGAACTGTGCACGGACCTATTCCAAACACAAATACAGCTCATACATAATTTACATAAAAAGAGCATCATACAAAAACCATATACAGATACAGGGCCTACCATCTCCTAGTAGGCTAAAAATTAACAGAAAGACGTCATCTGTCATCTGACCCTTAAAGAGGGCTTCAGTTTTGGAACCTTGAAGCTGGAAGAGAACAGTTTTGGAGTCTCTGAGGGGGGAATAACTGGGGCTTCTTTCCTCTTCAGGCTTTTATTTCCCTGGACATTAAGATTCAGGGAAGAGAAAACAAATAAAACAATAAGGAACGCCTTCATTTCTCAATTGTCAAATGAAATCAAACTTCAGACCTTAAAACCTTCTATATGTAAACTTTCACCCACCCAACCCACGGGAAGCTAGGCTCAACATGACATCACTTCTATTTGGTGAATAGACACAGGACCAGCAAGTCATATTGAAAAATACCACCCTTGACTACTGAAACATTATATACTGGTGAAGCTATTTTCATATAGCCAATACAATGAAGCTCAATAAGCAATGTATACGCTAAACTGGCCGCATTAGGTTAGCAAGTGATTGTGAAATGCATGAAAATGCAAATGTTACAACTCGATAGCAAACACAGCAGAAGACAGTACTTGCTGACAATTCAAAAGCAAATCACAGATGGGAACAACTCTACAATAGATACACTTATTTTTTTATAGAAATAAATACACAGATGTTAATCCAATGAATTGAAGGTGCTCCTACAATTCACATTATTTTTTAGCAGACACAGCCCCATGTTCATTATACTAGCCTAACACACAGGTCATGGTTTATGCGAGGCCTACAATAGCATGCACTTGTTAAACTTCATCTCGAATATTTTTTGTGTATTGTAAACGGGCAATTCTCCCACTTACATACAGTGTTTCAAGAAAAAAATCCTGAACTCTAAATCACGGCCCACAAAAAAAGATAGCAGATTTTAATTAATGACGCTACCAGCAAAGGGGCATGACTGATACAATGCAGACAAAATAAACAGGACAATAAGTGAAGATAAGCAATTAGTAAAAGCAAAGGCTATACCTTTTCAGAGGATTTTACAGGAGCAGGGGCATCAGGAGTACATATTTCTTTCTTCAAGGTGATATTTCTTCTACTTCTACTGCTCGTAATGATTCCCGATTCAGATGCTTTAGTTCCTTCCGTGCAATGATTTAAAACAGGTGTAACTTGGTTGTTCCTGAACTTTCTTAAAGATTCTAACTCCACTGAAAGTCCTGATATTTCTTTGTTTAATCTTTTTGTCTCAGCCTCCATATCAGCCACTTTACTTTGTAACTGTGAAATTGTACTATCCTTTTTATTATTTTCACACTGCAGTAGCTCCATGCTGGAAACAAGTATAGTTATCTTCTCTTTTGCTTTTTCTACTTCAGCTTGTTTACTCCTTAATTTATTTGTGTAGTCCTTCTCCATTAAATTATATTGATTCCACACAAATGTATTTTCTGCCAAGAGTGACGATACCTCAGAACTTTTTTCTAAAGCAACCTTCTCACGTTCGCCTTTTAACCTTCTTAATTCATCTTCAATATCGTTGGAACACTTCTCTTTTTCTGCACCATTCCAAGTGGACTTGTTCCCACTATCTGTGGTTCCTTTCTTCCTCTTGTCAGTATCCTTAGATATTGTTCCTTGGTCCTGTTATAAAGTGACTGCTCAGCATAATGCAATACATAAAAAATATCAGAAAACTCAACAAGTATGCAACAACTAACATACTTCTCCATTAGAGGATTCACGCGAAAGGCATTCAAAAATAGCTTTAAAATCCGCCAACTCGTCCTCTGTAAGCTCTGCAATTAAAAGATAAATGAATATGAAGTCAAGAAATGTGGTTAGAATAATTTCAAATTGAAAAATAGTTAAAACTCCTATATTTTGACAATTGACAAAACTTCTCCTTGAGTTGCCAAAATGAAGACACGATTATTGATAATTTAAATTTGCTTAACATTTATAATAAAATAAAATAAAAACTTTTCATAGCAAGCTAGGACTAATCCATCATCCATCGGGATATAATCCAGAAAATTTAAAAAAATGGATCAGCCAATCAGGTATTTCACCATCTAAGCCAACTCTTACAATCATGTATCATATAAAGTTATCCACTTTAGGAAAATGCAAATAATCCCAATCTTGAAGTATATTACTAGAGTCAGTGGTGTGTCTTTAACAGAAGAAATTATCCAGAATCGGTAGGAGAATTTCACCTTCTAACCCAAGTCTTATGGTCACCGGTCACATAAACTTATTCGCATTCAAGAAAATTGTAAGTTTAACCACGCTCCTAAGCAAATAATCCCAGTCTGAGGTTAGAGTGCATGCATGTCTATATTAGCCTTTAGTGTACCCGAAAATTCAAACCAAACATTTATACAAAAAAAAAATCTAAATTATTTTATGAAACAATCTACCAATGATAACAAAAAGGACCAAGCATTCTCCATGCTTACTTACTAGAAACAAGAAAACCAACTTTCAACATCAAATTCAGGATGTAACACCAAGAACAGAAAAGACAACCCTATTTTCATCTTACAAACATCAAAACGCAAACTTGCTTTTCTTTTACCCAAAAACAAGAAAAAGGGACAAAAAACGTATTATTAAGGAATTAATCAAAGCATGAAAAGCCCCATATCTGGCATGAAAGAAAAGACACTAACCCAAAATCCATTTGAAAATAGAAGCCTCTCTGTGCTTGGAACCCAGCGTCAAATCCGCCTTCGCCGTCTCGAGCAACCGCTTCTTCTCCTCAAACATCAAAATCCCCTTCATCTACACAACAATCGAAAAAATATATATAAAAAAGGCAAAAAAAATAATTTTTTTTTGGGGGTTTCAGAAGAAATAAGGGAAACCCTAAAAGAGAAATAATAATTACCTGGGAAATTTGATCCTTGTGAAGGCGAATATCGGAGGCCCATCTTTCGTGCTGCATTTGCAAGCGATCTTCGAGAAATTTGTGTTGTTTGGCGAGGGACTGAAGCTGGTTTTGCTGGTTTCTCACCATCTGAACCAACAAGTTGAAGATGTTTTCCCAGTTTCGACGCTCAGAAGAAGAAGCGTTGGAAGATTCTGCTTTTTTTGTTGTTCTATTGCGCATTGCGAAAAAATAAAAAATGCAAAGAGAGAGTGAACGAGGAATGTGAATTCAGAAGAACTGAACTGAAAATGAAGAAGCAACAACCAGATTGCAACGGTCGACTTTTGAGTTTAAGATTAGAGCGAAAGAGAAAGCGCTTTAAGCCACTTGTAAATAAAAAAAAGAAAAAGAAAAAGAAAGCGCATTCAAATTAAATGGGTTTTGGAAGAGGTTGGTGGGCCTTCTACCACTTTACCCGGCCCAAATATAATCCCCTTCGTCAACGCACATTAAACTATTGAAGACTTGTGTACCCAAAAAAAAAAAAAAAAACTTTTGAAGATTTCAGTTGCATTATTCTTCATCAGTTCTTTTTATTATTATTATTATTATTATTATCTTTTGGGTACAATTATCAGTTCTTTTTAGTTTTATATTAACTGTGACAAATTTATAATCGTTCTATAAATTTCAAAATGAAATAATAAAATAAGATAATTATTGTCAAACGAAAGAAGTATATTTATAATATTTTATTACTTACAATCACTTTTATTATTATGACTCTCACATGATATCATTTAGTAACTGTGGATTTGAATTAGATCGAACAAAAATAAAGATAGTTATAAAAAATTGTAACAAAAAATAAAGGGTTTGTGTTTTCTGCCGTAAATAAGTTATCTACCTTAAGTCCAAAACGATGTTATTTTGAAGCGAAAATCAAAGTATTTTTATAATTAAATTTATTTCAAGATTATAATAGTCTTTCTTATTATAATTTTTTAACTCAAAATTATGAGAATGAATATAGATAACTTATCTACATTATTCAATGTAGAAACATTAAAATCAAAAATAAATTATAAGTATAACATTTCCCTTGTTATGCATGGGAATATTGTTTAACCAATTTTAGAAAACTGTTCGCCCTTGAACATACATTTTATCTCGTTACTAAAAGGACTTTAGTTCTAGGAAAAAATGTCTATCCTTTTAAATGACACAACTTATGTCATTTCACTCTTACAAAGAGGTGAGATCCACACTTTTATTTTTTTTGTCCACTCTCTCTCCTCCCATGATCTATCTCTTTCTCTCACTTAAAATGACACAACTTTACATCCTTTAAAATGACATACATTTTCCCCTAGTTTTAAGGGGTTTGCATTCATCATTTAACATTACACAAAATTTTTTCCTACACACACAATGTTTCGTGGGACCCACACTTTTGAAGCAAAAAAAAAAAAAAATTACGACACGCAAAACGAATCTCTATAACATTACACAATCATTTTTCCTACAACATAACTCTTATAAAACCCTAGTTTTAATATACAGAAAAATATTTTTGCAGTTACTGCAGATAAGTTATTTGCATTTATTCCCAAACGACGTCTTTTTAAAATTGAAAGATTAAAACATTATAATTATAAAGACTATTATAACCCTGAAATAAATTAAAATTACAAAAACATCATGATTTTCGCCTCAAAACGACGTCTTATAGGGCTTACTGCAGATGACTTATCTGCAGTAACCGCAGAAAAAGAGAATCCTTTAATATATTATTGTAAAAACATTCTACGCCTGTTTTTAATAATATACTAATATAATATTAATAAATTCTAATTATTATTCTATCATCACCAAACCGCAATTAAAAAATAATTTTAATTATTATTATTATTATTATTTGCATTGCACCCTTTGTAAGAATATACTTTTATAGTCTACCACTTCCATAATTCTTTTGTAGTATATATCTTTTATGTGTAATTGAATTCTAACGAAGCTAGAGAGAGAAAGTAGATCTGAGATGGAAACAGAGGAGGATGGCGCGCGTGGAGCGCGTGAGAGAACGGTGGAGGAGGAAGACTTGATCCTGAGAGGTTTGAAGAAAGCGAAAGGTGAGGCTATGGCTGATGTGAGCATGGATGATGAGATGCTCGATAAGCAGGAGGCTGGTGACAGTGAGGGTGCCAAATCTTCCTTCCCGGAGAAGGTGGTGCTCATGCATGAAGTGCCTGATAAGAAGTTTATCTCTTACAGAGACAAGCTAATCAGGTTAAATGGAGGTGACAACATATCAGAGACTGACGAAGATGACTGGAAAGAGGTCCAGCGTAGGGAGGAAGAGGAAGATGGTGCTGAGGAGGTTCTGATCCAAGGTGCTGAGGATGATCCTCTTTGCCCATCGCTGCAATTTTCCAAGAGTCAGCATAAGGAAGACTGTCGTCAATGGAGGAAAGCCCTAATCATCAAGCTATTGGGGAAAAGGATTGGTGCGAGGTTCCTAATGGCTCGGTTACAGAGGCTGTGGAATCTGGTATCAACGTATGAATTGATTGATCTGGATAATGGTCATCTCCTGCTGAGATTCCAGGATGAGGGAGATTATCGGCATGTGCTGGAGGAGGGACCGTGGATTGTCGCGGATCATTATGTTGTGATCCAGAGATGGCGTCCATTTTTTGACCCTTATGATGATGGGTTTAAGAAACTGGCCGTATGGATAAGGGTTCCTGGTCTCCCTATTGAATTCTATACTGCTCAGTACCTATGGAAGATTGGGAACCTGTTTGGAAGGACTCTGAAAGTGGATAGAAATTCACTTCGCAGAAGTGAGTTTGGTGATAATGTCATTACAGAGAGAGCAAAGTTTGCTCGAATCTGTGTGGAGGTGGACCTAAGAAGAAGCTTCTTGTCGAAGTTCAAGATTGGGGAAAAGGTTTACCAAGTGGGTTACGAAGGTTTACATTTAATTTGCTTCAGGTGTGGCATGTATGGCCACATGAGTGATCAGTGTGTGGACAACCAGCTTAGGGACCAGGGTCAACAGTTGGGTTCTGCACCAGGGATCCAGAATCCTAAGGAGGGAAAAGCAATTGATAGTGCTAGGGAGAAAGGGAAAGAGGAGGAAGCGTTCGGCAGCTGGATGGTTATCCAGAGATTTAAAAGAGGGGGGAAAGCCAAAGTTGTGCCAATGAAAAAGGTGGTTGGTGTGAATGAGGATCCTGGGGTAGTCACGGTGAATCAGGATGCTGAGAAAGTTGAGGCCACTATGGGAGAGGCTAGGATTGATATCCCGAGTGTTAATATTACTGTCATCAAGGAAGAGGCTACTATAGTTCAAAATCCCATTGGTGCTCCTAGTAGGGGTTCTGAGAGTATAGAGGGTGGTCTATCTACTAAGGGGGACACTCCTGGTAACTCCAATCCTTGCCCTTCCCTTCAGATCAATAAATTGGATGCTGGTAGACAGAAGAAAAGTGTGCTTAAGGAGAACAGGAGCAAAAATGGAACTGGTGGTGTGAAGAATAGTAAAGGTGGGTCTCAGAAAAAGGGTGAGATGGAGAATATGCCACCTAATGTTTTGGTGGGCGCCCCTGATTCTGGGCATAAGCAGAGTAGCAGAAACAAAGATCTGCCAATGGGATGTGGTAGTCCAATGGATGAATCTCAACAAGCTAAGGTCAAAGGGAAAGGAGTGGGGTTAGCTGCTGTGTCTAGAGAGGTCCATATGGTGCAGGTGGATCAGGTGCGTGAGCTGAATTCTAACTCCCTTAGGGGGGCTAGAACTCTGAATTTCCATTAATTGGTTGGTGTGGGTTCCCTCTTAAATAAAGTCATGTTTATTTGCTCTTGGAATTGTAGAGGGGTGGGGAAAAAGGAATTCCCTGCCTTAATTAGAGACATGCGATATAGGTTTAATTTTAGTATTCTGGCCTTGTTAGAAACTAAAATTAGTGGCAATAGAGGGGACAGATTAATAAAGAAACTTGGCTTTGCTAGAAACTTCAAAAAAGATGTTGTTGGATTCTCAGGGGGTATCTGGTTACTCTGGGATGAGAAAAAGGTGAAGGTGGAAATTATTGATGCTCAACATCAATTTATTCATACTAAAGTGCTTTATTTGGATAAGATGAAATATGAGTATGTCACATTTGTGTATGGTAGTCCTAGAAGGTTGGAGAGACAATCCTTGTGGTTGAGTCTGGAAGTTATTGCTCAGGAAATAGCTGGCCCTTGGTTAGTTTTAGGTGATTTCAACTCAGTTTTGAATGCTTCTGAAAAGATTGGGGGCAGGGAAATCACTGGCAGTAACATCATTGACATGCAGAGTTGCTTATCTAGCTGTGATATTGGGGACATGGGGTTTAAAGGTCCAGATTTCACTTGGAAGAGGGGTAAAATCCAAGAGAGACTTGATAGGGCTTGTTCGAATGATGCTTGGAATTTAAGCTGGCCTAATAGTTTTCTATCTCATCTGCCCTATTTTAACTCTGACCATAGGCCTATCTTATTAATTCAAGATCAGGCCAGTAGGTTGGAGGATAAGGATAAGCCATTCAGATTCTTGGCTTCCTGGATGACAGTGGAAGGTTTTGTGGATGTGGTGAAGGATAGTTGGAGTAACCAGCCTGACTGGATTTTTGCTAGGAGTAATTTTGAGAGAAAGGCCAGGGAGTGGCATCTTAATGTCTATAGGAAGAATATCAAAAGGAAGAACAAAATCTATGCCAGACTTAGTGGCATTGATAGTTATCAGTCTGGATGGTATGATCACAGCATGGAAATTCTCCAAAAAAGGCTATGGTCAGAACTTCAAGAGATTCTGGTGAGGGAAGAGCTAGCCTGGTTCCAGAGGTCCAGGTGTAATTGGCTAAAATATGGTGATAAGAATACTAGGTACTTTCATTCATCCACAGTGGCTAGGAGGAGACACAACAGAATTATTGCTCTTAGAAATGAAGAGGGAGCCTGGGTTGCTGAGAAAGAGGAGTTAGTCAACTTGGCAGTTAAGTATTTTGAAAATTTGTTTTCTGCTGAAGAGGAAGAAGTAGATGCTTACCCTGTGAAAGGCTTCTTTCCTAATTTGAGTGGTAAAGAGAAAGATGAATTGTCCAAAATTCCTACTGATGAAGAGATCCAGAAGACTATTTTCAAAATGGGGAAGTTTAAAGCTCCTGGGCCTGATGGGCTTCAAGCAGTATTCTTCCATTCTCACTGGAGTATAGTGGGAACCTCTGTTTGTAGCTTAATATCTAAGATTTTTCTGGATCCTAAAAGAGTGGAGGAGGTTAACAAGACTCTAGTGTGTCTTATCCCCAAGAAGGAGAGTCCAGAGACTATGAAGGACTTTAGACCAATAAGTCTTTGTAATGTAGTCTACAAAGCTGTGACAAAGATTATAACTGAAAGGCTGAAGGGTTTTATGTCTCGGCTGGTGACTCCTACCCAAGGCAGCTTTATCAAAGGGAGGCAAAGTGTGGATAATATCATCATAGCTCAAGAAGTGGTCCATTCTATGAGAAAGAAGAAAGGGAGTAAGGGGTGGATGATGTTGAAAGTGGACTTGGAGAAGGCCTATGATAGGCTTAGCTGGAGTTTTATCAAGGAGACCCTAGTTGATATAGGATTCAATAATAGACTTATTGATCTTATTTGCAACTGTGTGTCTACTAGTAAGTTGAACATTCTATGGAATGGTAGCATGACCAGGGAATTTAAACCGAAAAGGGGTATTAGGCAAGGAGATCCAATATCTCCTTACCTGTTTGTTTTATGTATTGAGAGACTTGCTCATTTAGTCCAGCTAGCTGTGGACTCTAAGGCTTGGAAACCTGTTTTCCTTAATAAGAGGGCTCCTCCTTTGTCACATCTGTTTTTTGCAGATGACATTATTTTATGTGCAGAAGCTTCTGTGAACCAAGCTTTTATCATTAACCAGGTGTTGAAGGTGTTCTCTGCTGCATCAGGGCAGAAAGTTAGTGTAGACAAATCAAGAGTCATGTTTTCAAGTAATGTGGGTGTGGCTAGAGCTAAGGAGATTGGTGACAAGCTCGGAGTAAGGATTACTAATGATCTGGGGAAGTATCTGGGGGTCAATTTGAGTCATAAAAGGGCTTTTAGAAGTTCTCTCATCAACGTAATAGAGAGAGTAAGCAGTAGGCTTTCATCTTGGAACCAGTCTTCTCTCTCTTTGGCTGGAAGAATTACATTGGCAAAATCTGTCTTGGAGGCTCTCCCTGCTTACACAATGCAGTCCACCATCATTCCTGCTAATGTGTGTAATGAGGTGGAGAAGGTGACCAGAAAGTTTATTTGGGGATCAAATTCTGAGAAAAAGAAGATGCACTTGGTTAAGTGGAGTAAAGTTTGTAGACCGAAGGAGGAAGGAGGGCTAGGATTGAGAGATCAGAGAACTGTCAATAAAGCCTACTCCATGAAGATTGGCTTTGGTTTGATGACCAACAAGGATGCTCTTTGGGCTAAAATCCTGCGAAGTAAATACTTGGTGAGCAGTGATCTGGTCCCTGTGTTGAAGGAAAACAGGAATGGGTCTAGCATCTGGAAAGGGATCTACAAAAATTGGAGTTGTGTTCATAATGGGTCAAGAATTTGTATTGGTAATGGCTGCAGTACAAAATTTTGGTGGGACTGCTGGGTTCCAGAAGTGGGAAGACTAATTGATAAAGTAACAAGTCCAATTCCAGAAGGTGATAAAGAGTGGCTGGTGGTGGACTGTATAAATCAAGATGGAGATTGGCATTACTCTAAATTTGAACAGTTTCTTGATGATGGGATTATCAGTATTATTAAAGATGTTCACCCTCCTTCAGTTGATAATGGTCCTGATCGGGTTATATGGAGCCAGTCTTCATCAGGTATATTTACAGTAAAATCAGCTTATGATTTCCTATCCCCCCCTCTGATTAGTAATGACTGTATAAAGTGGCATTTGGCTTGGGACTGGGAGGGACCCCAAAGAATCAAAGCCTTTCTATGGCTTCTGATAGGTGGGAATCTTCTTACTAATGACAGAAGGAATAGAATGAATCTCTGTGTGGATGCAAGATGCAGTAGGTGCAATGACCCTTTGGAGGATTGTAATCATATTTTCAGAGGCTGTGAGTGGACCCAACATATTTGGAGGTTGGTCTGCAAGGGGAAGAATACTAGTCTCTATAATGCTGGAGGATTTAAAGATTGGTTAGAAGAGAACCTGAGTAGGAGGGAAGCTAATTTGGAATGGAGGAAATTCTTTGGGGTCATGTGCTGGTTAATTTGGCAGGAAAGGAACAATTTTATTTTCAATAATTCGAGATGTCTGCCCATTGATTTGGTGTATCGAACCTCGAAATTTATTTTGGATATGGTGGTGGCTGATGAGTTGTTTTTGAAGGTTGGCCTCCTTCCTGAAAGAAGAAAAGTGGTAGTGTCTTGGAAACCTCCCTCTCCTAATTGGATCAAAATCAACTCAGATGGAGCTTGCTGTGTTAAAGGAGGTGCATCTAGTTGTGGGGGTGTAGTTAGAGACTCTGCTGGTCAATGGGTTGCTGGATTCTCAAAAAAGATTGGATATGGGAATGTGTTATTGGCTGAGCTTTGGGGCATGGTTATTGGATTAGAATGGTCTGTAATGTTGGGTTATCAGCAGGTTAACCTTGAGACAGATTCTATGGAAGCTTTGAGGATTGTCCAGGAAGGATGTCCTGCATATCATCCCTGTCACTCGCTGCTAGACAGAATGAAAGAAGCTCTTGGGAAAATTTGGAAGGTGAAAATATCCCATACTCTTAGAGAAGGGAATAAAGTTGCAGACTGGATGGCTGCACATGCTTCTCCTTTGGACTGGAATACTATTTGGCATAGTTTTCCCCCTGTTGGGTGTAGTAAATTAGTGGTAGATGATTGTTTGGGTTTTATGGACCCAGACTGTAACTAGTTTTTGCTTGCTTTAATTTTCATACTTATACAAAAAAAAAAAAAAAAAATCTTTTATGTGTTAATTTCATTTCGAAAAAACAAACCCTCCTTTTCTTGGGAAACTTCATATTAAAACATTGTCCGGGTCAATCTATCAGATTATCACGTATCCGATCTTTATTGGTTTCTCCAACCCTTCCTAATTAACTTTACATATTCTTATCCCACTATTATCAGGAAACTTATAGAGTCAATTTTCTCTTTTACTCAAAGTAATCATACAAATCATTCTGAATCGGCAAAAACTTTGGGACAATATGCTAGTATTTACATAATCCAACCATGTAATAAGTGACTTGTAATATCCGTTTGATTAAGACGTCAACTAAAGGCCATACTCGAAAAATTGTGATTTATTTAACAATTTAAATCACGTCAAAAGCAAAATAAAATAAAATTAAGAAGAACATAATAGAAATCATTAGAGTCGTTACACTTAAAAACTAGCATAAATCTTGCTACCATATAAATCTGATATCTCTATAACTAATTTGATTAAAATTATGTATACGCGCACACACACGAGTTTAGAATAACTCACTGAAAGAGTTAAGTCAATATTATCAAAAAGTTGCAATTGTTAAACAATAATGCAAAATTGACATCCATTTCACCATATATTACAAACTCATACTATACAACCTTGATGAAGGATATTCCAAAATCTATATCCATTTTCATATAGTTAGATGGAATTACCTATTTTGCAATTGTATATGGCTCTGCATTTTCAACTATACTCTTCAAAGCACCAGCTCCCATGTATATGAGAACCTATGCCCATGAACCACAATTTAATAATTATATCAAGAAGAATGCATATTTTGCGTTTGAAAGGCAAAAAATACAAGCATCATATGTCATAATTGAGCCCTGAAAAGTTCATTTTCTTAGAAGCTCCAAAGAGGTTGTCTATTGACTTATTTTCATTCCAAAACAAATTATTATAAGGAACTTATAAAAAAAAAAAAAAAGGGATAACATATGAAAATCCAGAGTTATACCTCATTTGCATCTTTGAAAGAGCTGAATTCATCTTTCTTTGGCCAGTGTATTTGCCAACACCTGTAAGTCCACAAAAAGAAAAAGAAAATAAGAAGGTAAATGCAAAGAACAAGATGCAATTAATACGTAAAAGCAAAAGAGAGCACTTAGTCCACAAGCCCCAAGTCCAGTGAACAAAACAGAATGTGTAACCTGTCCTCAGATCCAATAAACTTTTAGAACCATTATATGAGTGCTAGATTCTGCATGCATCTTGATGTATTTAGTTGGATATGAACAGCTTTGCCTAATTTGACAAGTTATTTCATGATGAAACTGCAATTTAGGCATCAAACTTAAACCTAATGCATTAAGTAGTTCCCATACCATGAATATCTGTGTCTTGATCACCAAGCTTTAGGTTTTACGTGCAACTGTGCAAGCTACCCATACAACATAATATGCACACATCCAAGTCTTGAGTTCTACTAGTATATTGTGTACTTCATCACTAAAACCACTCTCCATTAAACCCCGACTATCAAGGGTGGGGTGAGGACAATTCTTGTATGCAGTCTTACACTTACATATTTGCAAGGGGGCGGTGACCCCTATACTTCATCCCTATATCACGAAAATAAAAAATGAGAGAATAAATAACCTTTCTCGCCCAAGGCGCCGTGCCAGCTCTTCAGCTAAAGCTTGACCTGGTGGATCATTATCGGTTGCCAGGATAATGCGAACTACCTAAAGAGAGAGAAAACCAAACTACTAAGCTCTTCACTTCTGCTCTAGAAAGATCCAACTGAAAGGGAAGACACCTAATATATGTACCTTATCCAAATACTCTTTGCAGTTCCACATGTATTGATATGCAGTGTCCTGACTTCATAAAGACAAGCATGCACAAATTAATAGATTAAAGAGATAAATTTATTGGTCGGAAAAATGTTTAAATAATAAGTTGAGACCAGAATATCATGTACTTTTTTGTGGTCCAATATCATGTACTTTAAATGAGGATGTAGAAAGACAAAAAGGAATGAGATCGTAGGCCAGAAAAAGAATTACTGGATGCAATTTTATTTTGTTTGTGTGCAATCATAGGAAACTTATGTGTGACAAATTTCATGACCTCTAGGTGGCATAAAAACTGTTTCATATAAAGTTATAAAAATGTCTATAGCTCAATGTTATGCATAGTCTATTTTTTAAAATAAAACCATAAAAGATAGAGTCAACATAAATAGAATTTATATGTGAAGGCAGCACAGCAGATTTCCCAAGAATATGCACGCTATATTTGGATATTTTGCAATAAAATGCAATTTGCTGTGATTAGATTAATAACTAATAGCAAGAACAGAACTGTTTTCAAAATACAGAATTATAACACAATATTTCTTAGAATGACAATGGCCCCAAAAATCAAAGATCTCCTTTGAAACAGTTAGTATCCGAAGATGACACACCTTCCCAGACATAGACATATATTAGATGTGATTAGATATGATTAGATGTTCATAGACATAGCAGCTTTCAAATAAGCACTCTCGAAGTTAGCATATATCGAACTCTGCATAGTGGTGTAAGGCACAACCGAGCTCAATTGAGTACCACCATTTCCCTCTTGGTTAAAAGACACTTTTTTGCCGCCGATTTTGATGGAGTTAACGTTGATGAAATTTCCTGTGAAGCGTGTATCTTGTTTTGGTCGGTGACAAGTGGTGTGAACGTGAGAGATCTAAGGATTTCAGGTTCATAGGTCATGCTACCGAATAGGACAAACCCAGAAGAAGATGAGAGGCAAAGAGTGATTTTTCTCTGTGTGCTAAAAGAATAGAAAATCTGTGATGAGAAAGATCTGCGAGATTTACCAAGACCTAGCATGCCTCTAGCACCGCTTGCTAAGCCATTAAAGAGCAAGGTGGGTGAACAAGTGAAGAAAACCTTGTGTGTGGGTTCAATCTTGCTTGATTTTGACTCTTCCGTTGACTTGAGTGCCACAAGGTCTTCTACAAGCTCTCCTTCCATGGCTTTTCCCCCTGTGATGCTGTTCTCTGCGAGAATCTGACATGGCTGGTCTTGATCTGTCACAGGGTTTGAAAGCCATGTCTGAGGCTCAGTTTCATGGCTTTTTGCAGTGAGACACTGGATTGAACGGTGAGGAATTGCGAGAAGAGAAGATGAAGGGGTGTTTGTGGATGCAAAATCAACCCAGAGGAGTGGACCCCCAAGATCCAACACAAGCTTTGTGGGCACAAAAGGGGTGCCATAAGAAAGGGTGGTCAAATACTGAAGGGTTTCATCATCCTTTGTAACAGGGAGAACAAAAGAGGAGCTTTGAGCATGACAGGTATTATTGCAAACAAAGCACATAACTGAGGAGAAACAGAGAAGAAGAAAGAGAGAAAAGGAAGCCATGGCTGAAAAAGAAGAAGAAGAAGAAGAGGAAAACAAAAACAAAGAGGTAGTTGGTACGGTAGTTGATAGGGGTTGGGGGGGGGGGGGGGGGGTGTCGGCTGTGGTTCGCCGCGGCTTGGCTGAAATTTGGTTTGGGTTTCTCTCTCACTTGCGGACTATGCTGCACTCCAAACTCTTCTCAAGAAGGCTTCTCCTCAGTCTCAGCCCTCCGCTCCATATACTGGTAATCTTGTTGCTTGTGTTTCTCAATCTACATCACTTGGCACTTGGATATTTGACTCAGGTGCTACTGATCATCTCTGTGGTAATAAGGAACTCTTTACATCTCTTACATATTCTGATCATTTACCTTCATTTACCCTTGCTGATGGAACCAAAGCTCCAGTTCGTGGGATTGGACAAGCTTGTCCGACCTCTACCTTGGCCTTGACATCTAATCATATCTAATCACATCTAATATATTCTAACAGTATCTATATCACTAAATGATTTGTCCTTATTATTACATTTTCAACTACCACAGAATAATAAAAAAAATTATAAGAGCCGATTAATATAGGTATTTCAAATACTTCATTGAAATTTTACAAGTAAGGTGTACCTATGTTCTGATACTGAAGAAGTTAGAGAGGGTAATTTACACATGACTTATTTCAGGCAATTCATAATTGAATGCATGGACAAAACTGCAGAGGGGCCAATTGCCTTTCATTAGGAACCTAAAACCACATCTAACCAAAATAGATGGATAGATCAATAGATAGATAAATAGATAGACAATAGATAGATTTTGATGAAGAAGAAAAAGGAATATTACTGATTTAGTGAGTTTTGCATCATTAAGGCATTAAACTGACATTCCCTCAGCCTTAAAAGAGAAGTGAAAAGAAATTATAACAATACCACAAACCTTTTCTATTGGTGGCAAATCTTTTGAAGAAACCTTTCCTGGTGCACCACCTGGAACACTGACACAATTCCGGAAGCCAGCTTCCTCAAGTGAAAGCTTATCAATTTCCCCCTCAACCTATTTTCGTCATTTGACTGTAAGAATATCTACAATTTTTTTTTTGAATTTTTAATTTGGGGCTTGGCAACAAAAGAAGATTGGAATCGGGAAATAAATGAACAAAATTTACGATGATGATTTCAGCTGCATGACTAATGTCGTCGATTCCATACAGTATCTTGTCCGAGCCTTTTCCCTGAACATCCAATTTAGCATTTGAATGAACATCAGATTATTTAGTAACAAAATTTATTTTCATATCAAAATGTGCATAAACTTTAATCCATATACAATCAGCTTAGCATTCAAAGGTTCCAGATAACAATTATAGGCTCCCATGTTTTATAAATTTATCTCTAAACAACTAGCCCTGATAGATCTTCTGATAAAATATGACTTATTGGCTGGTGATTGCTAAATTAGGGTTGATTGGTGAGTGATAGAATCAAGGAATGGATATTGGCTGTTGACAGAATTTTCTGTTATAGATATCTATAACTCAACTCCCCCTGCACATTTTCTACAAATGGATGTGTAGGCCAGGAGAAAAATTAAGCTTCAAACCAGCATCCTTTCTGTCTCTGTCTTCAATACCATAGTCACCTTTACTTCATCAAATGTATATAACATGCTTGTGGTCATTTCATAACACATCTTATAATGAATGCTTTTTGAATCATCATTGTTTTGGAAAACTAATCAATGTTTGCCTTCTTGGATCAATTATTTTGATCAGGTGAATTTTCACACCTATGTTATTAGCATTAGCCAATGTACATCAATAAAGGAATCAACAGCTTAAGTGGGTATAAACTAAATGCTATTATTGTTTCAATGACAATTATATTATGAGGTTACTCGAGTTTAAAGCAAAACATTAGCATCCAGACATGGTTCAAACTGGAAACATTACCTGCCAAAATCTTTTATCCATTGTTCTGTACTTGCAACCAACAAGCAACCCATTTTGTTTATAAGTAAAAGCAATGACGGTCTGCATAAATTTTGTAATACACAATGAAGTTAAGAACTTCTAACTAGTAAAGTTCTAAAGAAATAAAACCACGTACAGAAAATGTTTAAAAAAAATACCAAATAAAAAACAACAAAGACAGCAAAGAGAACAAACAACAATGGTTATGATAATTGGCATGATCCACTTCATGATTTTTTTTATTTTTGGTTACACACTTCATGATCTTTAACCCAACAAATCTAAAGAAAAGTTCATTTCTTAGAGAAAAAAATATATATGCACTGCCTCTCTCTGGTTTAAATAAGAGAATTTGTAATTTTCTCCACTATTCACCTCGAAGGTGACATTCAGTGACTAAGACTAGTGGGGAAAGATAAACAACCACATACCAAAAAATTAAAGGTATGAAAAAACAGCCTAGAAACATTTTTTAGCTTTGTCTTGTTGAAACATAGACACAAATTTTATGTTTAACATCTTAAATTCCTAAATGTTACTTCTTCAAATCACTTGTTAGCAGTACTATTAACCCTTAAAACGTGCACATCTGTCATAATATTTGTCTCAACTTCAAGGAGACAAACACATTCATACTCTTGGTTACACAAAAATGTAAGAGTGATGCATACGTATGGAAGATATCTTTTTCAGTCAGTATTATTAATTAAATGGCAGTAATCAGTTCAATAGCAAATAATGAAGTTTGCCAACAGAACACCAGCTTTAAAGCTTAATCCCAATTAAAATTTATTAATCAAATATCAATATAAGTTTATATGGTCATTACTATATTGCCATCAACAACTATATTCATAAGCCATTGTCTTTAGGTTGAATATCCAAAACCATTCTGTACCAATCTTTCCGTACTTAACATCACTCATTTGCTTCAGTTTTCAAGACTATGCTCACGATGTAAGATCACTGAAGAAATTTTATTTCTGAAATAAATTACCCTTTTATTCCCCGACTTAATAACCTTTACCGTTATTTTATGTTGCTTAAAATGACCAAACCTTATGTTTCTTGATTGCATAGTTTCCCTTCAGTATGTCACCATAACTGTGTACAAAATCAGGTGTTTACTTCTAAAATCATTACTGGAGAATGAGTTTCAAGAGAGATTTTGGTGAATTGCTTGAGTGTTTTGCACTCAGCATACTGATATTTATATACATGGAAAAATAAATACAACTTATATTTGCAAGAATAACAAAGAATTGGACTATTTTCTAGGATCCTAATGTTCCCAATGCTTCATAAATTCCTATCATTTACAAAGCCATAATAACTATTGTTATAATTTCTGACACCATTCTAGATATTTATCAGTCTATATTTTGTCTCTATTGCTTTGATATTTTTAACAGATAAGAAAATATTATGTCCAAAGCAAATGGTATATAGCACCACAGAGCACAGGATAGCGAACACCAAATAGACATCGGCAATCTGGATTCTGTTTTTCTAAAAAATTAAAAGAACAAATTTTACATTCATAAAACAAGAAATAGGAGGTTTTAAAAATAGCACTGTTGAAAATACCTGATCGCCAGACATTTGCCTTACAGCATTTCTGCTTAGAGTTTTCTCTGATATCAGTCTCTCCTTAAAGTAAGCAACAAGCTAAAATAGGGGGGGAAAAAACCAATACATAAGCAAATAATCCAACTAACACTTGAAAGTTGCAATATATTGACATAACATGGATACTCACAGAGAAACTGGCTTTAATAAGAATATACATTTATACTCTTTCAAGACAGTAGCTTTAACTTCCTTGCTCCCACTTGAGCATACCAAAGTTATTATTCTAGACCTCTATTGAATCTTAAATGTTGTGATATTAATTAACAAGCCACTAGTTAAGCAAATTGGCAGAGATACTTTGTATTAGTTGCTTATGGGCCATATTGGGAGAAAAATTACTATGTTAAAAAAAAAAAAAATCACTCCCCGTTAAACCCGACTAGCGAGTGTGGGGTGGAGGTAATCCTTGTACGTAGCCTTATCCTTTCATAATTGCAAAGAGGCTATTTCCTGGATTCGAACCTATGAACTTTCAGTCATAGAAAAGTTACTATGTTATTTAAATAAATTTGACCTTTAATATTAAGGAGAGGCTGATAGTGCCGAATCTTATTTCAATATTTCAAGCAAAGCCTCTGTTAGTTAGACAATGCCCATTAAGAATAAGAAGAATAATGTCAAAAGCATATGAAAGTCAAACCCTATGTCTACTTGAGCTAAAATGGCAAATACTATGCATTACCACCCTGAATACTCATAAGAGTGCTTACTTTGTTCTTAGAGAACAACAAGCAGATGAATACTCTTAATAAGATAATTAATTTTTTTTCTACTTCATTAGAATAAGAGACCTTCAGAAGACCTCTAGCATAATAACAATTAACAACGAAAAGAGGGGACAGCTCAGTTCATTCTAAGAAATTGGCAGTTATTCTAGTACTATTAGCTACTAGAATTGATAAAAGCAATTTGAATACCTTAGGACCAAGTGGTTCCAATCCTAAGCTCTCCTCAGCCATTTGTTCATAAGACTTGCCATTAGCACAAACCCTACTGTACAATTCCTTGTCATCTGCAAAAACCTATAACCAAATAATCATGTACAGTTAGTATGCCACAGCTCCACATTTATATAGCCATGTTATGTTACCTGACCAGCCCAACCACATTTAGCTTGAAAACACCTCCACATTGCAAATTCACTACAACAACCATTTTCCAGAACACATCACTCCAAAACATATATAATTATCACCACATCCTCAGAGCAAGTAGAAGAAGCTTGCTTACCCATCAGAAACAATATGAAAAGACAAACTCCTCTCCTTTAATTTCCCACCTTTGCACTAGGATTTCAAAACAAACAAGATTCAGAAACCCACTTGAAAAGTAAATTCATACAAAAAGACCTGGTCAAGAAATTTAATTACAAATTTAGAAAAAAAGTGATACCTTTGGACAATACAGGTTATGGAACAGCCCAGGCAAACAAGAGTTGTCCAAGGTAATGCCAATAACTTCCATTTTCTGCTTCAAAATTTTCACTTTAGGTGAACCAAAGGTATTGTCCACAACCTGCTCCACATCATCTTCCAAAACAATCCAAACAATCATGTCAGAGAAACTCAAAGAAAAAAGAAAAGAAAGCATTTGGCTGGCCAGAAAATTCAAACCATTAACACTATAAATAAATGGCGAAAAAGGGTATGCTAGGAAAAGAAAAACGAGGTAGAATGAGGAGAAGAACAGGTACCTGGAGGGGAGGGTACGTTGGTGGCACGAGCTAGTGAATGGCACCGAACGATGCCTAGTCTTTGGGGTAACACTTTTGCATAGGTTCTAGAAAACAAGTTGCAGAAAAGGGGTTGAGTGAGAGGACGACATAGCCATTGGTTCTGAAAAACTGACATGTTTGGTTCAAACGTTTTGAATTTGATTGGATTTTCGTCTATGTTATGCGGAGACCCTCTGGGTTTATCTTTGTTGTTGCACTTGTACACCAAGTGAAAAGACATCTTTTTTTAATGCTAACAAAAAATACTATAACTTTTACTTACTCATGTTATTCCCAATCAGAAGGACTTAATTTAAGAGAAAAAAAAGACTTTAATTCCGATATTGTGAATTAAAAAAAAAAACAAAAAAAATGTGTGGGAATGTTGGAAGAGCTTAATTTGTCGTTTTTAAGTGAATCTACGTTAGTTCGGCTTTTTTATCATTATATCCTTTAATTAATAATAAATTATCAAATTAACTCTGTTTATAAATTATTACAAAAATTTAACTTTTTCAACAAACATAACACTAATCTATCATTGTTTGACCGTTGACCACGTAGCTACTCGGGTAGAGACCCAATTACCCGAGAATATTTCACGGAATATAACTGTTCTTATTTGACTTGAGTTTATACCCGGGTATGCTATTATTTACCTAGGTACACATCCAATTACCCGGGTATTTGTCAGCTAGAAACCCCAATATCAGTGGGTTTCGACCTTTGTTATCATTTATATGTTTTGTATCCCCGAATCTCTCTCATTTCTCGTCTCTATTCTCAGCCATCAAAATTGTATTTCATCACACCATCTCAAAAAGCCTAATCTTGTGTAATCATTGGCATTACACCTACATATATGATGGGAGTCTCCGTCATACAAGGTTGCGTCTGGTATATTGTAAGAACCTGCACCGTTAATTTAGAAATTTAATTAATTAATTATGAGATTAATGATATAATTCTATAATTGACTCTAATAATTATGAGAAGGCTTTAATAATTATTGTAAGTGATTAAGAATGTTGAAAGTCGTTTTTCTGACGAAAAGTGCAGATACCGATTCTGCTCACGGTATAAGTACGCACCGATGAAGTATCCCAAAAAATTATAATAAGTGCATGAATATTCCTACAATAATACATAGGACTAGTATGACAAGTTTCAAGTCAAAATAATGAGAACTGGCGTCAGAATTGATACCGGCTACGTAAAAGCGCGTACCGGCAAAGTGCTGCGAAAAATAAAATAAAAATATGAAAAATCCTAGAAAAATGGCTAGGTTCAGAATCCTAAGTTTGGGATTAAAATGTTAAGTGTAGCTATTAGTGCTAATACAGTGTGATTAAACTTAAACTGCCTATAAATAGGCTTGGCAGAGATTTTTAGGTCATATTTCCTTGTGCCTACGTGAAGTTTCTGAGTGTGGGCTTCTGCCACCTTCCTCCATGGTTCTCCATGCATGAGAAACCTCTCAAGTTCTCTCTTTTCTATTGATTCTTCCCTTTTAAACCTTGTAAACCTTTAGTAGAGTGTTTGGTGGGGGTGGAGTCAGCCATTTCTGAGTGTTGGTTGCTGTCTAGTGAGAGTGTGTGGGCTGGGTTCCTTGGCTTGTGTGGTTGAAGCCATTTTCTTGGTAGTTGATACTCCAAGAAGAAATCTTTGTGTAGAAAGGACTCATCTTGAAGCTCATTTTCGTGAACCCTTGGAGCCAGCACCTTGAAGCTAACTTGAGAGCTCCAAGAGCACCCCTCTTGTTCTGTTTTGAGCCTTGGGTATGTTCTTGAACCTTTGATCATGAGTTTTATGGATAAAAGTTGAGTCTTGGCATGTAAAAAGAGATGTATAGGTAACCAACAAGAACATGAACCTAAATATGTATAAAAATGCATGCTTGGACGTTAATATGGGTTAAAAGTTGAACCTTTGAGTGATATCTTCGCGAAGATGCAAAACTGCATTCTGTCGCGAAATATCCGGATATGGGGTCTTAGATATCCGGATATGGATATCCGGATATGACCCCGACAAATATCCGGATATTCTGGGAATTTCGAGACAGTGGCTGTTCTGTTCATACATAACTGTATTATGGGTTTGTGGACCCATGATTCGTTAAGTTGGACCTCGGTAATAATTAACTAAGTCAGAATCAAGGGGATTATGGGCTTATGGCTTTGTGAGAAGCCTAAAGGCATGAAACGAAGAAGAAAATGTTGTCGTATGTCTTGAACTATTAGATGATGAATGCTGATATGATTGCTGGTCTAAAACAGATTGTGATTGTGCTTTTTGTGGACCTTGAGCTAGTGTGGACTTGACTTGGATAGATTGCTTAAGAAGTAAGCTTTCGTGTCCTCGGTTTTGCCATTGTTGGTTCCACCATACCCCATTGGAGAATGGTTTATATGCATAATGTGTTTTCATGTATTGATATTTGAGATGTTGTTGAGCTGTTAAGTGCAAGTGCTTATGATATGCATGTGTTGTTCCACCTAGACGGTAAGCCTGAGTATGTGGCATCATACAAGATGGTGATTCTGTGTGTGGAGTGCAAGTGGCGTCTTGCACTGATTGTAGGTTGTAGACGTATGTAATTCCTGCATATTCTCTGGCCAGTAGGATTTTGACACACATGACATGATTATATGCTGCATTGCACTGCTTTTGGAACTTATATTGTAAACTGCTTTTGAACTTATATTGCACATGTAAGTGAGCTTGGGGTGGAGAAATCTTTGAGGACCCCTTGTCTTACTGAGATTTCTTTTTATAGATCTCACCCCACGTTTGGGGCACATTTTCAGGTTCAGGTAACTCGGGGGCTGATAGTTCGAGCGGAAGGAGGCCAGAGCTTAGCTGAGTGATGCTTGCTGATTATGATGTTATGTTTAGATGTTGTTATGTTATATTTATCTCTATATGATTATCGAGTTGAGACTTTGTTTGGGCTTTGCTGCCTTATTTGGTGAGCATGGAGATTGTCCGTGCCACATTGACTATGTTTGATTAGTTAGATTTGAGTTGTATAAACTATCAGGATTATGTCCGGTCTACGTATTGTAGTTCCGTGACTAGAAACACATTATATATTAGGTATTTTAGTAGTTGTCTATTTGCAATTTACATACAAGCAATGTTTATAAAAAAGGGTTAATTAATCAACTTGGTAAATAATAATGACGTCAAAATTGAATGAAAAGAAAAAGTTAGTTTCGCATTTTAATTAAGCGCTGCTTAATACGATGACATGTTAACAAACCAGGTATACAAGGGGTGTTACATATATCATCAAAGTCAAACCCGAGGAGCTCTGTCCATATAGGAGAAAAAAAGACAATATCAATCCCGCAGACACGGCAAGCCAGCTCGCCATGTAGGTAGTTGAGGTTCTGGTAGAAAGCCCTCACCAAAACCTCCGAATACAGGCACTTCATCTCCGCAAGCACTAGGAGATGTGTCTGATGAAGAAGTAGCCCAATGTCGAACTGCTCCAAGTTGAAGAACGCTGAATCCAGTGGTTTCGGCTTACATATTTTGCGGCTCATGAAGGACTTCACAAACCTCTCATGTGCATCAGTGTCATCCTCAAATAAATATCTGAAAGGCAAGTTCGGAGTTTGATGAACAGCAGCCTGTGGCTGAGAGGATGACGACCCATCATGTCGGTGCTTGGTCCTCTTCTCAGTATCCACCCCTATCTTATTCGAAATGCGTCTCTCAGTCATTTTGTCACAATATGAAACTGAAAAAACACAAGTACACCTGTATAAATACCAATCACAAAATAATTAACACTCAAAAAGATCATACATCAATTGTGGATACAAAAAATTAAAATCAATTTCAAGAATAAAAAATTAAATTAATAACAGCCCAATCACTATCAAAATGCAAAATGTAATCAACGATTAAACAATATTTGTGCACTTGAAAGAAACCCACAAACGAAAATCAGAATGCAAGGTTAGGGTTTATCAAAAATTAAAAAGTAAAAAAATGTACCTTTCTTGGTTTTCAATCGGTTGAAGGCAGAAATGATGGTGCACGAAGGATGATCGTAATAGAAGAAGATTGTCCAACAAAAGTGGTGAGGGAATAACCTAATTTGCCCCTTCATCAGCTATACCCGAGTAACCCTTTGTGGGTTTTGAAATTGGGGGCTACTGGGTTTTTAAAAAACCCTACCCGCGACATTTACCCGGATAGCCCCATCCCTACCTGGGTAAATAATTCATATTGATTCCCAGATTATGAATAATACCCGAGTAGTCCACCTGGGTGCTCGGGTAGTGCTATTTTTTTATACCCGAGTAACCACTTATGTACCCAGGTATTTTACTGTGTCAACAGTAAAACAGGGGCAGATGAGTGATATATTTTGGTAGAGGGGTGAAAATGTAATTAATTATTAATTAAAGGCTACAGTGGTCAAAAAACCATCTTATTCCACTTAGATAGATTAAGTGCTTGTGGATGCTCTTTTTTATAATTTCTCTTTTATAAACAGAAGTCAGAGCAAATAAGTTTTTAAAAAACTTTTATAATAATTTTTTTTATAATAAAAAAAAAAGTCAAAAACTTACAGGAAGAGTTTTTTTATGTAACTTTTCTTAAAATGAGAGTTGAGCTTTTAAGTAAGTTTTAACTTAAAATATTTATGTAACCATGGATAACTTTTAACTCTTTTTTTTAATTTTTTATAACTTTAACTTAAAAGTAGTTTTTACTTTTAAAAAAAAGGAGAGAAACACTAATCTTATGTTGTAGGAGATTAGTATCTCATGTCATAGATACAAAACATGTAGGGTCCACTTATTTATTTATTTTTTATTTTTTAAATAAGCGGGTCTTATATGCTTTGTGTGAATGACATGAGATACTAATCTCTTATAATACGAGACTAGTATTTCCCTAAAATAAAAGAAATGATACAACCAGGCTCTAAAAAGTGAACCGATTTTTGAATATTGTCGGAGTTACATACAAAAACAAGAAAATAAAAATGTAATATTTTTTTTTGTACACATGATAAAACTATAATTTTTAACCATTTATGCAGAATGACTATTTCTTTTTTCTTTTTTTTGGTGAACAAGAAGGCTTCAAGCCCAAACAAACAGATACAAATTATCTCGAAACAGAAACAGAAATGTTCCTAGCTCTAAAAACAGAACTGAAATCAGAAAAGAAAAGTCATCTAA